GGTGGGAGGATCGCTTGAGCCCAGGAGTTCAAGACCACCCTGGGCAACACAGGGACAGAGACCCCGTCTCTACTTAAAAAAAAAAAAAAAAAAAAAGGGAGGGGGATCACGTGAGGGGGTCCGGGGTAGCGGGTAGCGCCTCTCACCAGCTCGCGGATTTTGACAGCGAAGTCGGAGGAGATGGGGCTGTGTTGGAAGGAGCAGTCCTGGGTCTCACTGAGTCCCGAACTCAGCAGCAGCAGCAGGAGGAGATAGGTCTGCAGGGGAGGGGGCGCTAGGGGAGCCCTCCGCTGTTCCACACACAGCCCCCTCCTCCGGGCTTCCCACCTGCACTGTTCTGTCTTCCCTGCTCCTCCTTCCCCAGGTGTCCTTCCGCCTCTTCCACACTTTCTGGGGCTGTGGCCCCATCTCTGCTCGTCTTTCCCCGTTTCTCTCTGCCTCTGGTCCAACGCCGTCCAGTTTGCATCCTCCTCTGCCCCACCCCTCTCTCTCCCCATCTCCCCCACACTGCCCGTCTCTCTCCAACCACCTCATCCTCACGTCTGCTTTCCTCACCCGGGTTCCTCCAGTCCTTTTCCTCCCTCTGCCTTCTACACCCCTGTTGCCTGCTTCTCTCTTGATCTTGGTCCACGTCCTCTTCATTCGTTCTTGGCTCTGTCCACCTCCCCTCTCCTCTGTCCATCTCCCCTCTTCTCTGTCCATCTGCCCCCTCCTCTGTCCATCTCCCCCTCCTCTGTCCATCTCCCTCCTCCTGTCCACCTCCCCCTCCTTTTCATCTCCCTCTCCTCTGTCCATCTCTCCTGTCCTCTGTCCATACCCCTCCTGTCCATCTCCTCTCCTGTCCATCTCCCCCTCCTCTGTCCATCTCCCCATCTGTCCATCTCCCTCCTCCTGTCCACCTCCCCCTCCTCTTCATCTCCCTCTCCTCTGTCCATCTCCCTCTCCTGTCCATCTCCCCTCTCCTCTGTCCATACCCCCTCCCCTCTGTCCATACCCCCTCCTGTCCATCTCCCCTCTCCTCTATCCATACCCTGTCCTGTCCATCTCTTCTCCTGTCCATCTCCCCCTCCTCTGTCCATCTCCTCATCCTCTGTCCATCTCCC